GGAGCGATGCGTTCAAACTCGAGAGAAAACGTGACGGTGGTGGTCACCATCAGCGCGGCGGGTGCCACCCTCGCCCCGTGGATCATCTACAACGGACAGCGTCTGCAAGCGGACTGGGTCAAAGGCAGAAACGGCCCTCCGAACGCGAGACTGGCAGTCACCGATTCCTCGTTCATGCAGGGGATCGTATTGGTCAACTACATTCGCGACTTTCACCGGCAGCTTCTCGACCGCGGCTTGATCAACGGCACGCCACACGTGCTCGTGCTTGATGGCCACGCCTCGCATGTTACCTACGAAGTTGTCAAATTGGCCAGGAACCTAAACATCGTCCGTTACCAGATACCGTCCCACTCGTCTCATGTTGTTCAGCCCTTGGACGTCAAAGTGGGGGAGGGGGTTGTGGCGAATGCCACTGGGCGGGGTGCTGGTCGTGGTCGAGTGGTCGGAAGGGTAGTGAGGAATGCCGGCGTATGCAGGTCAGGGCGAACGCTGACGCCGGCACGCGTAGTCGACGTGTAGGTTTTTCTGTACCGATCCGAACTCAACCTAGATTGATTACAAATCGATTGAAACCGCCCTTGGAATTGGCAAGGAGTCGACAATCAAGTGGTTGGAGTTTTTTTTTGGAGCGTCGAGCAGTTCTGCGATTGTAAGAGGCCACGCTGCACCGTCCTAGCGGTTTGAATCAGTTTCTGACTGGAAAACCCGGGGATGTGACCACNATTGATTACAAATCGATTGAAACCGCCCTTGGAATTGGCAAGGAGTCGACAATCAAGTGGTTGGAGTTTTTTTTTGGAGCGTCGAGCAGTTCTGCGATTGTAAGAGGCCACGCTGCACCGTCCTAGCGGTTTGAATCAGTTTCTGACTGGAAAACCCGGGGATGTGACCACTCTGTCCCCGGTTGGGGACTCCTCCCCCCCGTTTGTATGTACTTGCTCCTTGCTTTAGTGTCGAGGTCAGTGTCAAACGGCGAATCATGGGGTGAAAGCGAAGTAGAGAAAAACAAGAGATGCAGCGTCGTGCATATCGGGACTGGGGGTTGCCGTAGACGGACGCGAACACCGGTATATGCACCCGCTTCTTACCGATCAAAGTGGCGTACAAATTACCGTTTAATGTCGCGTTTTTTTTTGTGAAGTCGGTGTAAACCAGTATCAACTCAATCCTGAACAATTTTTTTGGCCCTACCCCGATTCATGGTCACGGGGCCCGTCAGCGAGCGATACTTGGGGTGTTTTTCCGTCCAAAAAGTTGGTTCAAAACCCGGGGATACGCCAATTTCATCCCCGCATACGTTGTTTTTTTTGCTACGACTCATATTCATAAGGTGATTGACTATGACACCAAGTATCATGACCTGAAACGTTGTTTAACGTGCACAATGTGGCTCTAACGCAATGTGGGGATTTATTGGCGGGGGGTGGTATTTTCCGGTTTTTCAGCTTCGTGGAGCCATGTATTGTACTGACTCTAACAGCACACAAACTCATTTGTTTTCAATTTTTTTTCTACACTCAGATATTGATGTTGGCTTTCGTTCAATACCTCGATTGTACTCTAGTTCAACCTTTTCACGAAGTACCAGCTTTTTCCGCACAGGGTGGCTTAAGTGGGGCTTAATAGGGACATACATCTACTCTACAGACTTGGCAACGCCTTCACAATACTGCATAAACCCATGCAGTAGAATAGAGTCGTTATTGTACTGCAATTACTCCAACAGGTACCTTGATCTCGCTTTTGCTGTTCCTTTTGTTTTTATACGTCTGGCTTTCTGCCCATCTGCCGCCTCTTTGTCCTGTTTGCTCCGTTACTCCCATGCCCTGGTGCGTAGCGCCTGGTGCTGATACGTTACCCTTTGATTTTTTCTTTTGGCGGGCGTGGGAAGCGTCCTCCTTTATCTTTGTTTTTGATTTATTTTGATCGGTTTCCGTGGGCTCTTTTCTCGAACGGTCGGTGCGATATCCGTTCTTTTCTTTCTATCATTGTGTTTTCATTTTCCGAGTGGTTTTTACCGTATTTTTGTTTTGTTTCCCCGCGGCGTCGTATGTGCCGGGTTTTGAGACCACGGGCTCCCCATTTTTTGTGGACTACAGACTAGTCTAGAGCCAGTGTGAGAAACAACAACAAAACAACAACAACACATGCGGACGACCTGTATCTGTCAAAAAAAATGATGGACGTACGCCACAGTAGGTAATCGAGTTCAGGCGGCCGTGCGTTTCCTCTCGGTGTGTTTACCAGTCTCATTGTCTCGCACGGGGACTCGAGGATGCGGCATTACTACAATGTCTCCGCATGTGATTTGAACCTGATTTCTGAGTGAACTTTTAGGTCGGTACAGAGCGCGCGAAATTACCAGAGGGAGCCTCTCACCGCATGATGCACCCTAGTGTGAACAAAGTACAACACAAGCCATGCCCTCAACCTATGGACCACACTGGGTTAGGTTATCCGTGACCATGATTGTCACGTCGATCTTCAAAAATAAACCCCATACCGCCGACGATAATATTTTTTCACGGAAAATTGTTACTTTTCTTGGTGTTTCGTGTACTCACTGGGCGGACTTTTATTGATGTTGATCTTGTATCCCGTCACCTCATCGCCCGACATGCCTGCATACCGATGTCCGTGCTGGTTTGAATGGCCGGCCTGGACTGTGTGGAAAAGTGTGATGTCGAGAGTTCAAATGTGGATGTGGCTACATCTCATTAAGAGTGAAAAATCGAAAGTGAATGAACGGCGAACTGCCGTGGACGCGAAGGCGAATTGTCGTTAGCGCACATTGCTGAGACGGGGCTGCTGAACCCTTGTCACTTGTCGCCTCAAGAGCTAAAGTAGCTATAGAAACCTCGCGGGGAAATCGTTGGATGCGAGTATGTTCTACAAGTTTCTGTCCTGCACGCGTTTCGCCCCCTTGCCCCCTTTCTCGTCTGAAACAACGTATCAGCAAGAACCAAACCAACAAGATGCAGGCGTTTTTACTCCATCTCTTCGAGTGAGGCCCGTCGAAAAGCGAGAATAATTCAATCGGGGATATCATGGAGTGCTTGGCATCCTGAGGCCGCGTCGACGGCCGTCATTAATAATGATGTGGTTCAATGCAGAGAAGCACAACAACGCTTTTTCCGGACGCCGGCTAGAAACAAACATCGCAGCCATTGCCGGAAAAAATACTTCGAGCTTGGATTACGACCTAACCCAGCACATGGCGCTGTTCAGCGCAAGCAGGCAACGAAGCGCCCCATACCTAGCCTTACATCTCCCCTGCTCACAGCAAGAAATCGACCACAAACTACAGGGGCAAAAACTTCACACAGCAATAACGATGCAGTGATCCAAACATGATGCTAGATTCACTCCACACGGATTCTTGCGCTGCTGAGGGACCCCAAACAAAGTCAGCGAAGAGTGCAGATCAGCCGGAGGTCGTGTACTTGCAGTGGCGGAAAACACCTGCACCTACGAGCTATCAACAAGAAACATACAGTCATTGTATCGAACACTATTGCCGCAATCTCGATCTTCTGGCTGGTATATTGAACACGGCAGAAAAAAAGGCAAGTGGATGAGAACGAACAACCTGCATGGTTTTGTTCTGTCTCCAACCGCGAGAAGCCACAAATGAGGACGGCTAGATCAACAACACCGTGCGCTTTAGGGTTATGTTGTCGTGGGCGTCTCTCCGTCGCCTTTCGGCTAGGTACATTCGAACACCGGACTAAAGTCTCGACTCGTATTTGGTGATTTTCACATTGCGCTCTTGCGTTGGAGGCATACAGCACCGGCGTACAGGCACCCCGTGTGCCAAGTCAATGTCATTCGCGAGCCCCCCTTGCCGTCAGGACCGACCGTACGTTCTGCCTCGCGAGCCTCCCGATCGATTCCCCTAACGCCGATTCAAAGGTTCCCACACGCGCGTTAGCTGCTTCTCCTGGCTGCCTTTCGGACAAAATTACCGGACAAATCACCGAAGAGCTCAGGATTTCTGGAGTCGAGCAAAAACTGCAGCAGCAACCACGCGACGGCAAGCCCCCCTCTTTGTTCAGATTACACAGAAATATACGCACGGTCATCAAACCCCAAACGACTTGCTACTCGCTTGAATCACAAACCGTTGTTGGCCGCCGCGGCCTTCTTCATCTGTCTTCTCTCGCGCCGATTGCGGCCCCTGCCTTCGCCTGCCGCCGACTTTCCCCCGGACAAGGTCCCCACGTCTTCTTCGGTCTGGTGACAAAATACAGGGGGGGGGGGGTACTCATAGTCGTGCATGCCGTAGTCGTTAGACCATTGACCTCGCATCCCTACAAAGCCGGGACGGAGCACGCCGGGTTCTCACCGGACCAGGCTCTCACATCACCAAGCGCGAAGCGCCGTGAGATATTCGGCGAGTCGCATGAAGGGTGCGCTGCATCCTGCTAAGGGTGTTCGGCATCTTGTGCTTACTTCCTTGCGTACGGATGACAGCTGCGTATGAATTAATTTATTTTCTGGTGCTTTCACTTCCAGAGACAGTTGTAAGCACTGTGTAACTGCCTCGAGGGTGCTTGACCATTTTAACACAACGTGGTGCGATCATCCCCCTTGCGCGGAGTGAGGGTTCTCGACCCCGCACAACATGATCTACTCGACCACCAATAATGGTTACCGCAAGAAAAAAACAGAGGTAAAAAACAAACGGAAACCTGGTTGCCGAGTTCACGAAGTGAAATGGCTTGTTTCACANGATTATCATCCCCCTTGCGCGGAGTGAGGCTCCTCGACCCCGCACAACATGATC